GAATGGAACTGCTCTGTGGCTGACCTTACTGGGCAGCACCCAGGTGAGAATAAACAATAGGTCATTTTAAGGTGAACTAAGATAATGATTAAAAGGAGTATTCATACTCAACAAACTCTCCCTGGATCTATGAAGATTAAAACCATGGGCAAGTGATTCAAGACTGGCACTGGTCCACCTCTGAGCACTGGCAAGAAACTACAGAAAACTATTTTAAACTAGCTCATTCTAATTGATATGCAATGTAATATCTGTGCTTCTTGGTCACTCGTACAGAGACAGACACACTTCCCTCCCTCCCTCTTCTCCTTACATCTGTCGTTCATCTTGGCCACTACAGAAGGAGGGAGGAGGGAGAGAGAACGAGAGGAAACAAAAGAGGAAGAGAGGGGGAAAGGGGGTTAGTGTTTACAAGGCTTACCCACCCCCATCTCCCCCTCTACCACTCTCTATTCATTCTATTTCTTCCTGTTTAACAAATATTACTGAAGCTGTCTGACAGATCAACAGTAAGTGAACACATTTTAGATTAAAAAAAAAAAAAGACATTTCTGAGCAAAAGAAGGCTGCAATTTTTAAATTGATCAGAAAGCGGCTTTAGAAAGGGCTACTCTTGAAGACTTATAATGACATGTCCCACACTGAAATGATGACTTTGAATGCAGCAGCTCCTGAGCTGTGAAATGACCAATGTGTTTGTACGATTTTGTCAGTGAAGTTGGCAAAACTTTAGATTTTCTTATGACAAATATGAGCAGTGGGCTTTTTGATAGTTGTGTCATATCAAATATAAACCAAATATACCACAATTAAAGGAAACGAGATTTCTTACAGATCTGGACAGGCAGGAATTAGCTGATCGATCAACACTGTCACTGATGAATGTTAGAAGAGTACAAGCCCGACACTGTTTTTTTCCTCCAACTACTCTTGGAAACAATTTGGAGCGTATAGTGCAATATACAACAGAGTTCCGAATCTAAAGTGTCTGCTTGTCCCTAACAAATATACCACAAGGTCTATGCAAAAGATTAATATGTTTTTTTTTTTTTATGAAATCACTGTTTGTGTGAAAATGCACCACCTTCTGCATTTAAACCTCAAATTATATGTGAAAATGTGCCTCATTTTTAGGGGTCATGAGCAGAATGGGTTGAGAACAAGCAATCTCTTAAACTCCCAGCCTACTCACCTTCTCTCTTCATGCCCATTGCCAGGCATTTCTGGTAGCGGCAGTACTGGCAGCGGTTCCTCTGTCTCTTATCCACCATACAGTCTTTATTGTCCCGACAGGTATAAGTCAGGTCTTTGCGCACTGTCCGCTTGAAGAAGCCTTTGCAGCCCTCACAGCTGTATACGCCGTAGTGCTTACCTGGAGGGTGTGAGGAGGAAGAAGGAAAAAAGCCAGAGAAGAAAGACTATGACAACTTTTTCAAATCTGAAATTTAAACAATCTCAAGACATCTCATCAACGTTTAACTGTTTATACTGTATAGACAAAAACTAGGGAGTTGTATTTAAGGTGTCTATTCACCAGAGGATCTGTCTCCACAGATGGAACAAAGGCGTTTCTGGGAAAGCATCGGCCCTGGGTTGTGGGATGACAGCTGCTTTAAGCCCAGTGGAGGTTTCACATCATCAGAGCTACTCACTGCATGGAGCCCTGACATGGACACTGTCGAGTTGATCTGAAAGAAGGTGACTGCAGTGAGAGTCCGACTCTTGTTTTTAGTTTCTCCTGTTCCTTGTTCTCTCTAAACCCTGCCTCATTTTATGTCTCACTCTGACAAACTGGTAAGAACAGAGAAGGTCTTGACAACAAAACACTTGGTATGGTATGGTATGAAATCAAAAAAACAAAGATCTGAGTGAATTCAGGACAAGTCTCTGACTGTCCTTGAGTGGCCAAGCAAAAGCCTAGATTTAACTCCACAGAACATAAGGAAACCTGAAGATGGCAGTTCACAGACAGTTTCCAACCAATCTGATGGAGCTGAGAGGATCCACAAAGAGAATGAGATAAACTGCCCAAACCCAGTTGTGCTAAGCTTGTAGAGACTTATCCAAGAATACCTGAAGCTGTAAACGCTGCCAAAGGGGCTTCTATGAAGAACTGAGTTAAGGGCATGAATACTTCTATAAATGAGATATGGGCATAATGGCAATTTCATCCATTTAAAATTAAATGTACAACCCCAGTGTGCAAAAAGTGAAGGGGTCTAAATACAAGAAGGACAGTGAATGACAGCCATGTTACCAACGATTCTGTGATGAAGAACAAAATTTTGATTTAAAGAAGGTTTTTATTTTATTTTTTTTTACTTAAACATGAAAATGCATTTTATTTTATATTGTATTGTACTTGGAGCTGGATTATCTGTCACTATGGCTGTAACTGGCAGCAATCAAGACAATAGAAGTACAGTGGTCCCTCGCTATAACGCGGTTCACCTTTCGCGGCCTCGAAGTTTCGCGGATTTTTTTTAGTCAATTTTGCATGCTTTTTGCATGCCGTGTCTCCTGTACAGTACAGAATGCATTCAGCTTGCCAAATTTACATAAATCTTCAATCGCTAGCAGTGTGACTCTGAAGTGCTGTACTGTATGTTTGCAAGTTTTCTCCCCAACAAACCCCACAATGTCGATGAAACATTCTGCACCGTCAAAGGCACCTGCGGTAGCACCCAAAATGCAGAGGAAGATGCTAACCATCGCACAAAAAGTTGGACTTCTGGACATGCTAAAGGAAGGTAGAAGTTACGTGGCTGTAGGGTGCCATTATGGAATAAATAAATCTTCGGTTTGTTACATAAAGAAGGAGGAAAATAACAAAAGGACGACAGCAGCAATAAGTTTCAACAAAGATGCAGAAAGAGTTGTAACTGTGCGTATAAAGTGTGTAGTGAGGGGTTTTACAGCCTTAAAACATCTATAATAATTGTAAAAAATAAAGCTGACTACTTCGCGGATTTTGCCTATTGTGGGTTATTTTTAGAACGTAACTCCCGCGATTAACGAGGGACCACTGTACTATAGTATTTTTCTCTGTGTTCAAGTGTATAATTATTTTGGTTGAAAAACATTTAGAAATAGGAAAAAAAAAAATCTTACTCACACTGTAATGTATGTTCAAAAAGTGTCTCTAATGATGCCGGCCCTCCCTTACCTGTGGGCTGCTAATGGGGCCATAGCCCACCGAAGGCGTGCCAGGTAGGCAGGGTGAACCCAGTGAAGAGCTGATGACAGAAAAGGGGGAACCAATGCTACTGATGGGGCTGTTGACGCCACTGGTGGTGATGGGAGGAAGGGAGGTCATGGAAGCTGCAGCTGAGGGAACTAGTGGGGGTGAGCGTTGGCCTGATGGAGGGGAGGACACAGACGAACTGTCCGGGCTGCGGGAATCTAATCAATAGCAGGAGGGAGAAAATACAAGTAGTTAATGTAATCATTAATCAAAATAATGTGGTGCAAAAAGGCTAAGCTTATTAACAGAGGTGATACAGGCTTTTTAACAAGGCTATTTGAATTTAACACTTGTAATACGTGGCATGCTCAAACACAAATATGCAAGATGAATTATCAACCAAATACCAGCTGTAAACCTAACAATTTGGCTGATATAAGACCTGTAATCACCAAGTCTGCAGGTCCATCACTACTTAAACAATGATTTCTACAACTTGTAAGCAGTCTTGCCGTCTTCCTATTCTTTTTGCAACTGTATGATTTTTTTCTAAGTACAACTGCAGAACCTTGAGGTCAAGGGGTCTTTTTCCAGTGCGGTCAACCACACGTTGCAGGATTGCACTTTTTAAAATGCATTTTAAATGAAAACAACAAAAATGGCATGCTGCAATTACTGGTAACTGTAATGCCATCTTGACTGTAACCTCTAATGAGATGAATGACACATCCATACAGTATCATTTTTACCACATTGTTTCCTTAGCTCTAGGAACTAACAGCAAGTCTTGCAGAGAGAGATTTTGCCAGTACTGATTTTACCATTCCTCCATCATCCTTCTAAAAAGTTGGCACTTTCTTCCACAACTGGCGGTGTGCTGCATTTTCACTGCTTCAGGCTGTGTGCTCTGTTGTCATCTAATCTAATCTATTTTTCTTGCCTCAAACACATTGGAAAGAAATCAGCCAATCATGTGCTCACACAATTCTACTGTGGCCTGTGGAGGCCGCTGCCTGCACCACCATGCAACAAATGAAAGACATCATGCTTTTAATTACTATGGACATTTGGGTTTTCTGCATTTTTAACTTCTGGTATTTCATCCTCAAAATTCAATCAATTTCTGACACAGTGATCTATGTGTAGCTGTAAGGATTTTAAGATGCATAGTAAGATGTGTGATGAGTTCTGTGTGGCTAAACAAGTTGAGTATGACACTAACGCTGACACGGTTTCCCTTTTTCCTGTTTTAAGAATAGAGGAGCCAGAGCCAACAGATAAAAACTAATGCAATGCTCTCATGTTGCTGTAAGGTGTTTTGGTTAGAGGTAAATACTCACTAAACCCAAAACTTTCCTTGTAGCACAGGAACATTTGTATAGTCACAGTATAATTAAGATATTACTGTGCTTTGAATGAAATATAAAATTGAGGTGTCATCAAGTTTTGAAACTTAAAGGATTTTTTTTTTTATGGTGGAATAATTAAACCTATTACAGTACATGCTACAGTGCATTAAATGAAAAGACTAGGTTCAAACCTATGGGAAACTGGATTTTAATTAATCAAAATGATATTAAGACCCACTTCGCTTTAAAGAAAGTGATCATGTGAACGATTGTCTTGTTGTTATTATTATACTTCTTTCAAATGAATGTATGCTCTGAAAGCTCGGGGTTCTAGGTCAACTTTACCAGCACGTTTTTATTTAATCAAAAACATGACAACAAATGTGAGACTATAATATGTAAAATTATGGCTAAATATCAACAACAGTTTGCAGACTGTTGCACTGTTCGTCAGACATTCACGTTGCTGCACTGCTCGTAACAAAATCTGTTATTTTCTTACCTCTACTGTCTCCCATGATGGTGGCTTGGGCACAGGGGCTGGCAGCTGCACACCGACGTGCTTCCGTCTCAAACAGCCCGCTATCAAACTCTAGACCGCGGACGGAGGCCCGGGCCGGAGTCGTTTCGGAATACCAAAAACGGATCTGAAATTTCGGCACAAGAAAGATGTCCGTGTCAGGTTATGATGTGGCACTGAGAGTGGCAGTTTGGTCATAAAAGTGTTAAACAGCGCACACAAAAATCCGACCACTGCAAGGTTTTGAGCTATGGTTGCCTGTCAGTGGAAATATTAGTGAAATGTTATTTGACGCATTATTGGCATTTGATGTAACGTAGTCATTACAGCAGGACTTTGCAAAGCAGCCAGCTGTTGGGCCGATGGGTTGTCTTGTCCTGAAGCAACACAACACTGCTGCTGTTTATTATATAACAAATAGTACATTAATACCAAATATTGTGTTATCTTGTTTCAAAACACTCCAGTATATGGCTGGACCCCAGACAAATGGCAACAAACCACTGTTCTTTCACGCTAACATTAGCCACCACACAGATAAGCTCATAGCTAACGTTTAAAATATTTGTGCCTACTGTAAAGCTAAGTGGCTTGTGTTACCTACCCTCCTTGTGTATAAATACATATCTCAACACGATATTTAAAACTATCAGGTATCTGTCGTTTCATTTGTGGAAATTATGCTACGTTTAGTGTAGCGCTAAGTTGGCAAAACAAGCTAAACGCTACACAGCTAAACTACGTTTAGCCACCTAGCTAGTTAGCCCGAATTCACCGAAAGAAAGTCAGAAAACCAGGAACAAACCAGTTCGGTTGTTCCGCCTATATCTCATTCTCCTAGACATAACCTAGCTAGTTGTTGGAATTATATATTTAGTGTAAATAAAAGCAGATTACTGACGGCTTAGCAGTACCGCTTCTCCGCACGAAAAGATGTGGCGACTAGGCCCCGTGTGTGTGTCTGTCTACCCCCCCACTTTGCCTCGTAGTCAACCCTCCCTCCCCCCTGCCAGGATGAAAACATGGTGATAATGGAGGATTTGGCTTAAAGCTTTCTAACATTTGAACATTGGCTACAAATCACTGCAGCCTGGCATCATGGGACAGGAGATGGGTTGTGTGGTCATGTAGCTCCTCTCATGTCACTGTCTGGGGTAGACACATTCAGTCCAAAGGGTCAAGACAAGTTCAGTTCAGTGTGTCACTTGCTGAAAAGGTTACTGGCGGACACTGACGCACCGATGGACCTGCCGCTTTGGGAAACATTTCTGTTGAAACGTTCTCTTCATTTTTTATTTCCAAAGCATTAACGCAAATATAATTCTATGATTATAGAGAACAAACCGGAAGAAACATCTTAAGGCATCGTTTATAACTGCTATTTGTTATAATGACCCTTTAACTTGTGGCCTCTACCTGCAGGTGTACCTGAGATGCCCAATTTAAGTAACTACATTTTCAATATTGATCTGCAACTACAAGATGTACATCATGGGCCATATTGAGTTGGAGTTGTGCCATGATTGTGCAGCTTCCCAAACCAGACAAAGATCCATCTGGTTTAGTGAATCAGCTGACATGGTAAGAGACATACTGTACAGTTGATGTTAACATGTTTTAGGGGTAGATTTGGCCATGTAGAGCAAGCTGTGACTGTCGCAGTACAAGATAAGGATGCACATAGTAGACCTAACTCTATAAAGGCATATAAAACTGGTAATGCATTGTGCTCTATCCTTTGGCTGTACTGTGTTCCACAACACCCTAGTCAAGTATTTGAAAGCACCAGTCAAGGAAAATAAAACTATTGTGAGAGAAAGTGGGCAGGATTTAAGATGATGGTACTCTGTTTTACATCCAGTGTTTCCTTTTCACTCTAAATATTAGCAATGAGGTATCAGAGTCTCTTTCTGCCTTCACAGTTTACATGTTGTTTCAAATTGCTGCAACAAACATCAAGCAAATAAGCCAAAAGTAACAATATTAAAATCAGCCTTTTATTTTGAATGTGAGCTTTTAAATGATTTGGTGAAGAGTTTTTTTCCATCTCTTGTAACTGGTGTTTTGGTGCTTTATCACCCTCCAGGGGACTGAGATGGCATCACACAAAGCTCTTGGACTTTTATTTTGCTGAAATGATAATTTCAAGTTCACATTTTTATATACAGTATAGAAACATTCAGGTATTTTCAATTAAAAATAGTGATGTGTAATGTGCTGCAATTTCACATTAAACCTCTAAATACAGTTTATTTGCAGTTCAAGTAAGTGTCATTGTCTATTATTGCACTATAATATGAAAATAAAGCTCTTATCATATCCACTTATTAATTTTTTTTGTTGTATTACTGTTAAAGTTATAAACATTGAATCATAACAAAATAAGCTCTTTTTTTGATTCCTTTGCCAAATTTTGTGGAAATGCCTCATTTTGTAAAAGTTCCTGAACATTAGATGTTTCAGCTTTTTAATGTTTTACAGTTCCGATGCACCAATACCTCCAGAAGAAGAAACACACCAAAAGCTAATTTTTGAAAGGTTGTTTTTATTATTTGCATTTTGTTCACCTATAATATAATGACATCGGTCAGTGGCTCTGCTTTACATGACAAGAGAAACTAAAGCAACAAAGTCACAGAAATCTTTCATTAGCATGAAGTAAGTGTTTCAGGATATCTTACATTTAAATTTTCTCTTAGTGGGCTTTCAGAAGTTTTTTGGGTTCACTTCTCGTGGATCTAAAATAACCCGTGATATATTTGTAACCATACTAAACTAACTTAGCTTTCTGTCAAACCTTAGGAGGCCAAAGTAATGTTACATGAACTTAAAAATGTTATCATATTGAATATTGCAGTTGCAAATCCTCTGCATTCAGTTTCTGTCTGAAATGTGCAGCCCACAGACATCAGCGGACACTTTGCCTGATCCCTGGTGGTGTTACTGCGCTACAGTTATTGTCACTATTTGTCACTAGAACTATTGTTCTATTTTAGGTGTTTTTACATTTAATCAGTTTTTCAGCAAATGAAACTCATGCTCAGTGTGACTGTGTTACTTGACTGACTTAAGCTGTCAAGGACATTTTACTGTTTCATCTTGAAAGTATTAGTTTTGTCTGTTTGGGATCAATCTGTGTATAAAATAAAACGTGATTTTTACATAAATCACCTCATTTGGATTTTACACACTCATATTAAACCTCAAAGTACTTTAGCACTGTAACCTCATAGTGTTTCATTTCAGACCCAATGTGCTGGAATACAGAGACAAGGCAGCACAAAATGTGTTACTGTCCAAATATTTCAATCTGCACTGTATGTGCGTGTGTTTCTGCATGTGTGTGAGTGCTGCGTGAGGGATTAGCCTCAGTGTGTGTCCACCAGTGATTAGCCTGGTCAGTGGGCCTGTTGTGCATTCACTCAGGCCATTAGCATATTAATGCAGCCTCACTCTTGATCCCCCCCCACCCTCTCTCTCTCCCGCGCTCTCTCTCCTTCACTTATTCTCTTTCTCTATACATATTTCCCAGACTGAGTTGTTGCTTCCTGCAGCCTCAATATATAAATCTCAACAATTTACACCACTCGTGCTGTGAAGCAGTGGACAATCCCGCCACAAAAATTTCAAGGTGCCTGGTTTTCTTTTCCCTCCAAAACTGTCCTCTTGTGTGGTTCCCCCCGTCAGATCCTTGCCTTCCTTTTCATCCTGCTCATCATAGCTCTCACACTCTCTCCACTTCATTCAAATCCTTTACTTTCTCTCATTTTCCCTTTTCTTTCTCCCAAGTCTGCTCCCTGACCTTTGCACAACACAGGAAAACACACACAGAGGGGCAAACACACAGAGAGTGAGTACACACACACACACACACACACACAGAGTTCCCTCCCCCCCATTCATTCTCCTCTTCTGTCACTCTCATCCCTTCCAGTGCAAATTTAGCAAGACCCACTCTCTAGACACCGGCACTGAAGTACGAACCGGACACATTCAACTGTACTTAACATGGTGAGAGCAATTCAGGCCTTTCTGCTCCACAGACAGACTCTAACCCCTTTTCCTAAATGGGATGCCCCGATCTGCAGAGCCAGGTTTGTATGGGCATTTACACCTGAGGAGGGGGAATAAAAAGGTTAAAAAATAAATGCTGTTAGCATTTTGATTATTTGTTCCTTTCGCTTACTGATTGTTAACATGGATATATACACCAAGTCAGTTTCAACCCTCAGCCTGTAGAAACTCATCTTTTCACATCAGCATTCAAGGCAAGGTTTACAATTTGTGGTGCATTTTGTAAAGTGTCTAGTTTGCTGTGAAATATGTTTGGTTCTTCTTCAGAATTTGACATAAACCAATTTGTGTTGTGTGAGCTGCCAAAGAAGTGGACTTCTCCTTCACTCCCGTTTGGTTACTCTCCACCTGCTGTCTCTGTTTGCTGCCATTACTCTTAACATTCAAAGATGAGGTTAATTATCCACCAGCCTGTCTTCTAAACTGTGACCAACCTTGAAAAAGAAAATTTCATACCCTTCCTATGACACACACGAGTTGACCTGAAGACCAGAAATGACTGTTAATTTTACTTCTTGTTTTGCTTCAAGTGGAAGCTTGGACCAAAAAGCATCTAGGCCCAACTTGAATCTCCTCTGGACTTGTTTGGGAAAAAAAGTTGAGCTGAGCTGAGAGGTTCTTAAAAGCTTTACATTTACATAAACACACACTCCAGTATTTCCCTCTCACTCATCTACCCACAAAGCCTCTGAGGAGTTTCATCCCATCTATGGTGGGCTGTCCCTCGCTGGCTTTCAGAGGTCAGGGGCGTGATGTCCATCCACAACTCCTGGTTTCACAAAGGCAGACGCAAGAATTGCGTTTGGACAATCAGCTCCAGACCTCCATCCGTCTCTTGGTCATCAGTATGTTCACATACTCACACAATCAGGTGGATGCACAGGTTCACTGGCTGGTGACTTTAAGTTGCTGAAGTAAGTGAAGAGCAAGTTTCAGTCCAAGTATCAGTTCCTCCACTTACTGAAGCTCAGTGGCATAATGGCCTTTGACCCCCAGCTTGCCTCGGGTCTGGGGTGGAGAGGGAAAGGATGTTTAGAGCAGAACAGAGGTCTGAGTGGAAAGGTAAAAAGAATGAGCGAGGAATAAAAAGCTCTAACTCATACTTGTCCTCTGTGTGGGTGATGAACGAAGGGGTCACCACCCAGGGGCAGGCCTGTCCAAAAGAAGTCGGCAATGTGACCCCCCTACAAAAGAAAAAGTGGTTCCCCCAGCGGTCACACAGATCAAAGAAGACAAAGGCCTGAGATGATAACTCAGCACAGCAGTAGAGCGCATTATTATCAGACTCATGAGCCACAGCGGTAGTACATTTAACTAAGGAAGGAGGGTGGAGGAGGGAGAACCCTGAAAACTGAAAAGTAAAGCTGTGACTCCCCCAATCTGATTTGCCGTACGCAACATTTTCTCTTTATCTGATTTGCTCCGTGAGGTATTTTCTCTTTCTGTGGGAGCCTGTCTTTATCCAAATGATGTGGTCTTTGGTGGGGCCTGGCCTATTCATGGGAACCCCATGTGCTGTGTGCCCACCATTGAGGTGCAGAGCAGCATGGTCACAAAGGATGGCAGCGTTTTAGAGTCCTTTCCTTACAGCGAAAGGTCTCTGTTCAGAACAAAGTTTACAGTTAAACCAGAGAGTCCACCACATAGTTTAAAAAGTGAAAAGAAAAAAGCATTTATCTAAATGCTGAAATAAAAGTATGCAAATATCCCAACAGTCAGGAAACTGGAAAACAGACTTCAGATTCTCTAAGTAATACTTTATGACATGAATGCCAATAAGAAATAATGGGTGAAACCTTTTTCAGTAATAAACAAAACTTTAGAATAAAGTTTACTTGGTCTGTTTAATGCATGTATTGCAAAATGTGTGTATTTACTAAAAATAAAAATAATAAGCTCAGTTTTCCTGACAAAAACTCCATAGCAGACTTTTTCATCTCCCCAGCAGGCTTTGGTCAGTTTGGCCTGGAGGCCTAAACTTATCTGCTTCAAATGTTTCTTCAGGTTTTGCTACTACACAGGCAAATAAAAAAAAACCTTTGTCCTGTAGAAAACTGAAACGAGGGTGTAATACATAAATTTACATCAGCTAATATCAGCTCAAAGCAAAAAAACAGAAAAAAGACAGAAGACAAAAGCACAGTGGTGCTCAGGGTTTGGACCCTGTGGGGCCTAAAATCTGGACCAAGCGTTACTGCAGAAAGCATGTGATAAAGTCCCTCCCAGCCACAGAGGATTCATCCTTACATGTGCGCTAGTCATCCTCGCCTCTTGTTCGTCCTCCTTCAGTTTTGGGTCGAGTTTTAGCTGCGTTGCTGTCGACGTCTGACCGCACTTGTCCTACTTCTCCATCTTTCACTCTCTCTGCCTCTGCCTCCTCTGATCGTGCGTCCTTCTCCCTCTCCTTCTTCAACCCTTTCTGTCCAGCCCTCCCTCTGCCTTTACATTTCCTTCACCCTCTCTCTCTCTCTCTCATTTTCCCCGCCCTCTCTCTCTCTCTCTTTCTCTCATTCCATCTCTTGCTCTCTTCCTCTCCTCATTTCATGCAGTGCTGGGGTTACCTAAGAGACTGGGCCTCAATGGAGAAAATCTCCTTTGGTACAATGAACTGGGTGAGAGGCAGAGGGGAGGGGGGGAGAAACAGGGGGACAGGGTAGGATGAGGGGTGTTGGACACAGGAGGGGTGGGAGGGGTGAGTGAAACTAGGAGAAAGATAGCGGGATGCAGATGCATGCAGGGATGGAAGGGGGATGCGAAATCCCAAAAAGTGAATAAGTGGCTTCGCTTGTGTGATTTCGCCTCAATGGTCAGTCTTTTGGCGGTTGCCTGTGGTGACCCCCCCACCTGCTCTCCAGTCAGCCCGTTGCTCTGACTGAAAACCACACTTATTTGAGGCATTTCAATTTAAGCTTAATGATTTATGAATTAATAATGTCAAGAAAACAAAGTGGTCTTAGTGGAGAAACTAAAGTTTTGTTCAATCCACTATTTTTTTTTTAAATACACAATCACCTAAGACAAAGCTGAAGACAATCCTGATTACCACGAGATGGGAGACGTCCATGTCAGTGGTCAGATTTTGTTTGTTTACTTGTTTGTTTGCTCCTGGCAGCGAGTGCACAATGAGACCCAAAGGATCAGAACTCTCTTTACAAAGACAAGTGTTTCCACAGCGTAAACCCCATCGTCCTCTGCACCGCGCAGACCCCATTCAGAGCACAAGTAATTACACTTCTCCCTTTAATCTATTCACTGTCTCTGTCTGAGAGGGGCTTCCCAAAGAAGAGGACAAAAACACACAACCTTGTTTAGAGGTTAGTTACAGATTAGCACCAAAACTGTTGCAGTTCATTTTCCTGCTGCACCTTATTGAGCTCCTCAGTGATGCTATTCAGTTTGTCATTTGTCTCTGAGTTAGCAAACAAAAACCACACTTATTTGAGGCATTTCAATTTAAGCTTAATGATTTATGAATTAATAATGTCAAGAAAACAAAGTGGTCTTAGTGGAGAAACTAAAGTTTTGTTCAATCCACTATTTTTTTTTTAAATACACAATCACCTAAGACAAAGCTGAAGACAATCCTGATTACCACGAGATGGGAGACGTCCATGTCAGTGGTCAGATTTTGTTTGTTTACTTGTTTGTTTGCTCTTGGCAGCGAGTGCACAATGAGACCCAAAGGATCAGAACTCTCTTTACAAAGACAAGTGTTTCAACAGCGTAAACCCCATCGTCCTCTGCACCGCGCAGACCCCATTCAGAGCACAAGTAATTACACTTCTCCCTTTAATCTATTCACTGTCTCTGTCCGAGAGGGGCTTCCCAAAGAAGAGGACAAAAACACACAACCTTGTTTAGAGGTTAGTTACAGATTAGCACCAAAACTGTTGCAGTTCATTTTCCTGCTGCACCTTATTGAGCTCCTCAGTGATGCTATTCAGTTTGTCATTTGTCTCTGAGTTAGCAAACAGATCCCCTGCTGCTCAGCTCTGTGTCTTTACATCTCTCCCCCAGCCCCTTTTCTCATAGGAGGATGTGAGAAACAATAGGGCTAATAAAAGAAGTAGAGAGATAATTACAGCACGGCGATGAAGTTAAAGCTCCTACGCCCTGAACCATAAATACTGGCAGTGTGAAATGGGATATGTGGGTGACTTTGGGGTGTCTTTTTATGCGCTTTTCTGTGCCAACAACTTATTCTCATGTATGTCCTGTGTAGCTACATGCCAGGGCGAATCTGAGATCTCTGTGTTAATGACTCTATCAGGACCTGATACAACAGAGGCCCCTGCTGAGGGAATGGATCCAAGGGGATTGGGGTGTTAGAACATGGCACAGGAGGTGTCAAAGTTGGGTTAGGGGAGCTGTGTGTGTGCTTGTCCAAGTATGTGTGTGAGACAGAGGAGGGGGTGTTCAGGCAGATTGTCCATGGTGCTCACCCCTTCGTGCGGTGCTGAATGAAGTTATTTCCAAGCCCCTGTCCATCTGTTACCGTGGCAGCAGCAGTGGCCAAGGTGTTGCCATGGCGAGGTGGACACAAAAAGGCGTGGCGTGGGAACAGGGCCAGGGGTCAGGAGTGAGGGTCATGGGGTCAAGGGTCACAGCCAGCTGGACAGCACACAAGAGGAGACCACGGTGAGAAAAGGAGGGAAGGTCTGGTTTCTTTCTCTTTTTCACCCTTTCTTCTAAGGGCTTTTGCTCGGGAGGGAGACGTCCGAAGAGTGGACACCACTGGACATTAACATTGAACTGGGGCGGTGAGATGAGAAAGGGAGGGGGAACTTAGGTCGACAATGGGTCCCCCACAACGTCCAGGGAAGCTCCCCTACATTAGACTTTATACCTACTGGTGTCTAATCGCACAGAACATTTGACAGGCAATTGACTCTGTTCAGCGTAGACGCATATGTGACTTTTGAGAGTATGTGGATGGCTGCATGTGGGTCTGTCTGTGTGGCCACCGCCTGCACTTCAACCAGATAAATGATACGCTGAGAAAACACCGGACAAAGTTTCCTTCAGCTCAAAACGGCTCACAGACAATAGGACAAACTGCTGTACTGACCATAACCACTGTATTTCTGTCTAAAATCTCGTCTGTCACAGTGTAATATATGTGTATTTATACATATATATTACACTGTGACAGAAGAGCTTGTAGACAGAAATACATTGGTTATGGTCACAGTGTAATATATGTGTATTTATACATAGTTTGTCTCTTTTTTTCCTATTTAAATGCACATTTTTCTCTCTTGTTGGCTGATGGCTGCACACTGAGAGCCACTGTACCAGAGTCAAATTCCTTGGGTTCAGTGTACTTGGTCAGTAAAGCTGATTGTGATTCTGATTGAATAATGAATCAATGTTGCTTGAGATGGGAAAACACATTTTCTAAATCTTCTCCCACCTCATATCTTTACCTAGGACTCCTTTATTACAGTTTGGTTTATCTGCAGTTTAGATGTTGTGGCTTTAATCTAGTTATCTTTCACTATTGTTGTTTCCAGTTAGACACTGATATATCATACTGTACTGATTTGAGACATGAAAGTCAACATCAGCAATTTTAGAAGTTTGAAAAAAGGATTAAGATTCATCACTATCACTTAAGGTGATTATTCCCATTGAACCACTACCTACTGATGAGTGATTTCACAGCTAGGACACAGTGTAAAAGTTCAGTTACTTTAGCAGGATTTGTAGAAAAATAGGATTTTGTCCTGCAAAGAAAAGTGTAAATTCTTGATTTTTATGTCTGCAATTTGTGTAAAAC